ACTATACAAAGACAATCAATTGACCAAAACTTACGCAAACTTGCCGAAACCGCAGGGTTTGCAGATATCTATACACAAGATTATAGCGGATATTTTAAAGAAATTAAAGACTATATATATCTAAACGGTGAAAATACAGACCACAAGATATTTCACCTATAAATATTTTTAGCTTTGTTACACTAAAAATTGAAATTCTCGATTTTCTAGGATGGCCCTATTACATCTTAGAAAAATTAACTATCCTATACGAAATGTTTAACTTTATAGGATTTCTTTTTTCACTTTTAAAAGGAATCTATAACACATGCGCTATACACACACAAGTAAATAGACAAGCAAGTGTAGCACGCATACTATTTGCAGGATTTTTTGGAATTTTTTCATCATCAATTAACAAAATTCTTCTAGACGCACAAATCAAAGAATATAATACAAAAATAGCGACAACACAGAACACATACAACGAAGAACATAATAACATAGAAGTAACGTCTACAGCACCACAGTTGCCACCCCTACCACATAAACATCCATTATCCTTAGTCCCACGTAATTTCCGAAACCTAGCAATAACACATAACCCAAATTTTAGACCAAACATATCGCAAAGTCCTATACAACATATAATGACACATCATTCACAAGATGATAAAACATATGAACAAATTATAGAACAACCCCATACCACCGCTTTTCAGTCTCATAATAATAATTTTTTTAGCCCACGATGAGCCGACAACTTGGATTCCTACACCGCTCAAATTCCCATCCAACCAACCTCAACACTCCAATCACAATAATCCCACTTTTTGCTTTCCCGCCACCCGATTTTCCAACTATTAATATAACATCAAGCATGAATTCGGATACTAATTCAGATATTTCAGTTTTTTACTCCATTTCACAGCTTAATAACCCTAATATAGAAACCCCTGACGAATTTGCAGACTCGGAACCATCTCCATCCAATAATTTTCAAACCAACTCCTCAATTTTTTCAAAGCCCCCTTTTCAACCGATCCCACTAAATAATCTACTCCCGTCCGTTTCTACTCCCTCTTATGATTCACAACTAACCCCAACCTATTCTCCATTTCATTCCGACCGATCATCTAACTCTCCCGATACTCCCCAAAACTCCCAAGAACTCGATAATTTTATCACCCTACAACAACAGCTAATACACCCTAACACCCTCACTATAAATCAAATTTTATCCACAATAGAATCCTCAAACCCCCCTACTCCTACACCCTCCTCAGCCTATACTGCATCGTTAGCACAATCATCCACATCCACCGAATCATCAAATAGCAATCACCGAGCTTATCGCACTTTCAAAAGAAAATTCCCAAACCATCCATTCCCGACCAAACCAGGAACAGCCTGCGAGTATAATAATCATCCACACCACACCAACACGAAAGATTTTCTAGCAATCAGCTTACCTTCAATACAGCTTGCCTTCAATATACTTTAAACACACCTAACGACGCAAACGACAAACGTAGTTTTGTAGATGAACATGTTTTAATGCCTACACTTCATTGGACAACATATTACCATTTTACTAATCCCCTTTGCCTGCCATTATCTAATACTCATAACGATATAGAAAAGAATAAAGATATGCTGTATCGACTCACCACACCACTAACACATAGACAATTTACTTATATAGGATATAAAAAATCACTAAAAACATTCACTGCATTCCGAGCTAACGAATTTACAATAGAATATTACGACCATAATATCATCCGAACTAATCAAGACCAGTTTTTAGATGACGACCGCTTCGCTAACCCACAACTAACAGAAAAATTCTTCATCAAAACATCATATGTATTCACACTCAATATTTTTGATAGAAAATATGATCACATCATTTCTGAAGCACTAACTGATATGCAAGCTTACGAAAGTTTTAAAGAAAAATTTCAATTATTTTCACTAACCTTTCACTTCCTTGCACCACATGATTTGCACTGTTCACACGACATTATGTTACGCACTAAACAAACTCGCACATATACATACTATCGCTTCATACAAAATCATTTTGATCTACATACTCCATCAAGACAACCACACCATCGTTTTCAGTTTCTTAACTCGAAGTACACTTCACCATTTTTTCTAAATTTCACCTATTGCATCAAAGATACTAACCTCCACGGCATCCTCCGCAATTATGACCCAATAACACAAATGTATATATTTTGTCCCATCACGAAGACCTTTAATACCGAAGAATCCAGACCCTTCCTTATCCCACATGAATTTATCCAACCTATAGAAATCTCTATATTAGAATTTATTCACAATACTAAATACAATCACGAAACATATAATCTCATTCAAAACACACCTTATGAGTTTGCAGTAGGCACTGAAGAACTAAAAACTATTAAAGCACTTCAATTGCTTTGGCCACTGCTCCAAACTAAAAACATCATTCGCATACTAGCAAAATTACTAACAAATTCAGACATAATACGCGACATCTTTCCCCACGGCTTTTTCCCAGACGATTAACAGGTAAGTATAATTACAAATATTCTTAACTAATAAATTTAAATTAAAACTAACCATTCTTTACTCATGTTTCTTTTAGATTTTTAGTCTTCATATCACGATCATCTGCAAAAAACAGAAAAGAAAAATAAAAATTAAAAACTTGTTAAAATTGTTCTAAGCTTCATTAATATTTTCCACAAGATAATCTGATAAAATTTATACCATGTGTAGTAAATAAATTTATAAATTATTCCCCCATAAAGCAGTAAATTTAAATGTGATGATAATTTATAACTTTAAATTTTCCCCAAAAATTACAAGCAGTAAAATTGAAATTCTATGTAATAAACTGATAAAATGAAAATGCAGTACTAACCTTTTGATATTTTCATTCATTCGCACAGGAATTCTATCTAAACTCGCACAACTCGCCCACGAATAATTGTTTAAATAATGAATTTCAGTTTCAAGTTTTCACACTCAACAACTCTAACACACGATAACAAGTTTCAAACTTTCCTTTAACCCGGTTGGAAAGGAATTATATACTAAACCAAACTAACCAACGCAGCTTACTAAACACCACAAATCATAAAATAACAGCATGACTAAGAAAAGAAAACCAACGGTACCCAAACCGGATTAACCCAGTTTAAAACTGGATAAATTATTGTTTTGAAGACTATTATAAAGTCTAAGAAAGAAATAATAAAACACAAAAAAGTCGAAAGACAAACCCATAACAAAAACAATTTGATTTTTGAAAAAAGGACACCAAAGGAACATAAGAAAGACCAACACAAACCCAACATAAAACGTTATCACATAACAGGACTTCTCAAAGAAACCGCACGAAATCATACTCCCACTCCTGGCCTAACCCACCAGAGAGGACGTCCTGAGCATGCTCTATAGCCGGCCTAACCCACCGCGCTACATCCACGCTTTGTGACCACACTTCTATTTATAATAAGAGGTACTCAAGGGTGAGTAACTCTTCAAAATAACCGAACTAAAACAAAATGCTTTTGTGAAAACAACTAACTAAATTCATAAATAAAAAACTGAACTAAAAAAAATTTTATAAAATGTAAATCATACCTTGCAGTATATAGATCACCACACAACAACAAAGACGAACATCCAAAGACAAAATGACCCCACTACACTCGAACAAGAATGGCTAACCACAACCGATATGCCGTCCACAATCACAACTCAAAGGATTTAGAGTACGACTTGACTTCGCAGAAAAGGACTTCATTGAACTAGACCAATGACCACCTCGATGTTCAAGTATACGTACAGATCTGAGTTCCAAGGCATCCCCCTCCACGCACAATCTCCACGCCATTCCCAGACGAGGTTGAACAAAAAACAAGTTCTCTGCATAATACAGAAAAACCCGTCATCGCAAACCATTTTGAAATCAGATTGATTTCGTTGGGAAACACAGTCGTTGTCACAAAAAGACACAACGATTGATGCCCCTAACTCCAGCGTCCTGGAACTTCTTTAACAAGAAGAACCGGACAAGAGTATGATGTTCGCCAAATACCAACGTTCATCGTCCATCCTTTAAATTGCAGAAAGATAATTCTAAAAAACTCTGTAAAACCCGGATGGGTGGAACCTGACCTAAACTATATTTTATGATTGGATAAATTAGATATTTTACCACTGTTAAGTATTTAATATTAACCAATCATGATCCATCTAACTAACAACCCACTTATTTGTAAGTGCTGAAATTACTTGTAATTTCAGCACCAGAGAGATTTGAATTTAACTTAGAAATTAGTTGTCTCTCCAAGAGAGCTTCAGCAGCCGCAACGAACCAGTATACCCTAGATCTATTGAGCCTAGCAGAGACTAGTTAAACACCCTGACACTAGAAAGTATAAGAGTAAGATTAGGATCGGTATTAGACTAAGAAGTTGCACGAATCTATCCGGCCGAAAATAAGATAGCGTGACGAGCAGACGGTGTACCCTATCCGAAATTACTCTATGAGTTAACCACATCGGGCATAACTCAATAGGTTCCATTTTCTCGAAAAATTGGTTATGTTTCAAATATCTCGAGATTGTTGGAAAAAAATGAACCAAAATTCGGAATTACATCTGCCTCGACCTATGTTGTACTAGACATATGCTTTGACTGCTCTCGACGTATCTTTTGGTTTTCTCAACAGAATTTGGATATGTTTAGACTGTGTTTGACTTATGTTTCGACTGCGCACGAACTAAGCTTTGAGTGTGCCTAACCCTGTCTAAAGAAACGAGAAAAATACTTGGCGTCGATACAATTTTTCTTGAATTCTTTATTGAAATCCCAGTCACAGCTGAAATCCTGGCTCCAAAATGATCAATCAATCAGTTGGAGCTTGCTTAAATGACGTTGAAAGAAAAAATCCCTGGCCATAATTCCTTTCCTGTGTACAATTGGACGCATAACAATAATTTTATAATTCTTTTTTAAACTAAATTTCATAGCCAGTAATATAGATGCAAACAACAAAAAGCTGTTAATGAATCACTTTATCAATACACCTCTATGGAGAAGTAGAACTATAGATTATTATTATAAATGTATAGAAAGCTATGTTTTGTGAGCTCTGTTGTTGACTACTGTTCCGTTCAAATAGACAGAGTGAACGGGTACTTGGTGAATGTCCTTTGTAACTACTGTTTTTGTGTGCCAGACGTGAAGCCCGAACTCACCTGAAATTTCAAAAACTTCAGTAAAGGATATAGTGAGGTGGGGTTTTTTCTTGAGTTTTTGCAAGCGCTGCTGAAAATTTCGTGAAAATAGGGTCTTTATGGCGTTTCGGAAGCACTTGGAAAATCAGTTTGGTCAACCTAAAAAAAACTGTCAACCAAATTTCGAAAAATCTTGAAAATCCGGCCTCGAGAAAATCGTAAATTTGCGTCTGCCACCGAGAAAAAAGATAAGAGACAATTGGAGAACACAAGAACACAAGTAACAGCCAAAGAACACAAGTAAAACAGAAAAAAACTGACTTATGAACAGAAAAAAAACTAACGTTCGATTTTCGAAAAAAAAATCATTACGAGGCCAAACTGTGCATTTTGTGCATTGTAAGCGGATTCCGCAAAAAGGACGCTCCCTTTGTTCTTCTTTTGTTCTTTAACTTCCTTTGATTGTTCCGACAAAACTTTCTCCTGTTTAAAGACTTGTCTCTGGAATCCAGGAACATACAGACACAAAATTGTGCTCCTATCCAGTGCACAGTTTAGCCTCGTAATCAAGATGGTCCTAAAGCTCTTTAGAGTTGTAGAACAATTTATGATAGGTTTTTTCGATAAAATTAACCCAATTCGAGAAAAGTTGATCAATAGGCTAATTTCTTATTTCGCTAAGAAATTGAAAATTATACTCAACGTTCGCAACTAGAAGTCAAGCACGATTTTTTTGTGAATTTTGAACATTTTGCTGTTCGATAGCAGTGGATTTTGCGTTCTTTTTTTGAAAAAATGAATTGAATTTAAAAAGAAATCAAAAGTCAAACCGTGAAAAAGTATGTTTGAGCTCGAACAAACTTTAGTACTTTCACTGAAAAAAAAATCATTACGACCTGTACAAGAATCTGAACTACGCTCATCAACTCTTACAAAATCATTCAGCTTTTAATTTTCAGAAATGAAATTAAATAGTCTTTCAATTTCGAGAACAAGTTTTTGATTGACACTTCTTACAGCGTAAAATTCTTATTCCACAGGAACATCTGAAAACTGAAATCCTCCTACAAAATTAGAGGTTGAACACAAATCAAATTTTATTTACGAGTTTCTTTTTGCTGTTTGATAGTGCTGTTTCTTTCAACGGGGGATTTATTTTGAAGTTTCTTTTGGAAAGAAATTGCAAAATTAATAAGACATAACTGCTCGTATCAAGGTGAAGCCCTGATTGTTGCAACTGCCTTTTGAGGTCTGTGGAGCAGTAAAAAGAAGAAAAAAAATTACATTACGAGGCCAAACTGTGCACTGAATAGGAGCACAATTTTGTCTCTGTATGTTCCTGGATTCCAGAGACAAGTCTTTAAACATGTTAAAATTTTGTCGGAACGATCAAAGAGAAGGAAAGGACAAAAGAAGAGCAAAGGGATCGTCCTTGTTGCGGAATCCGCTTACAATGCACAAAATGCACTGTTTGCCCTCGTAATGTAAGGTAAGACAAAAAACAAAATTTTTTTTTTTAAAATTTGAGATCATTTGTAAAGATCATCCCCCCGCACGCCATATAAAGTACAAAGTGATAGATTTTGCTCCTATGGCAAATACGCTTCCTTCAACCAACTTGGAACGATTTCTAAGACGGATTAAATCTCCGCTTACAAGTTTATAGCGCGACGAATATCGCGCGTTAATTGTCCCAACATGGCCAAAATGGCCGTCTTTCCCTAACTTTGCGAAAAATGATCACAGGTGAAATATCTTTTCAAGTTCAAGCTCAGGACAACAATACTTTTCGATTGATCTTTAAAAAATACGTCAAAAACTGCTAGTTAAAAAGTCGAAAGTTGACTGACAAATATTCTGTTACTTTCATTACGAAAGTCGGAACAAAAAATACATTCCTTATGGCTAGTTTACTAAATGCACGTTTCAGAGTAAAACTTCTGGTAAAATTCTAAGCATCTTTTGTTGTGATAAAGTTTTTTAAGGTTTATCAAATTTTTTAACAATGTCTGAAGTTTTTTAAATTAAATTAACTTTGTAGCTGCATACCATGAATGTACTCTGCCTTGCTAGGATGGAGCTGGAACTTCTCTAAATAGTTGGATTCTTGGAAGCCCTGAAACAAAACTGAGAGCTTATGATTTCTGACATGAAAAAAAAATTATTTTCTGGTTTAACTAAGCGGATTTGAATTTAGTAAAATTTTTCTTACTCAATTTTTCGATGAAATCGACACATACCCAACTGACAGCTGGAAAAGAGTAATGAACGCAAGGAAAAAAAACTGAGTGCAGAAAACTCACTTACGAATTTCGCAAAAAAAAAACATATGGTTTTAAAGCTATTTGCATTTCGAGAACAGTTTATGATTGCTGCTTTTTGAGAAAACTGAATCAATAGGTCTAGTTTTTTCCGCTAAGAAATCTTTGTCTTAACTTTCACATTCGAAACTAAAATTCGTTGACATTTTTCTTGCCATTTCTATGTTTGTATTTTGAGAGTGCTCTTTACGTAATTTTCAGCAGATTAATTTCAATTGAACTCAAAAACTGCATATTAACCTAATTGCATTCATAAATGCATTAAAATGTATGAATGCACATTTGTAGTTTTTAGAATTTTGAACACTTTTTTCTGAAAAAAAAAAAAAAAAAAATCACAAAGATCTATATGAGAGTCTTAACTACGTTCTTTACTCTTAAGAAAAAACCCCACTGAGCTGGTTTTCGGGGTCAAGAGACAAAAAATTATGTGCTTGACTTGTGTGTTAGCCGGATAAACACGAGTATCAAAACTCATTTAAAAAGCTTGTTTTATTTAGAGATATCGTGAGTATGCGCGTTGTCAATTGAAGGAATTACTTGCAACTGTCTTTTTGCACGATTTGTCTTTGAACTCAAACTGCTAAGGGTGCAAATTTTTGATACCAAGATAGCGACCACCCCTTAGGAAAAAAAGGAAACTAATTAGATTCACTTTTTTGTGTCATAAGCTTACCGCGGCGATAGCTCCAAACTTGGGGTAGTTTTTGTCGTGCATGAAGCCCACATTGATCGCGAATCCTGCCATGTCTATTGGGAATTTACGGTGGGCCCACCACGAAGACTGGAAACCGATTATCTAAATTAAAAGGAAGCAATTTGAAAAGAAACTTTTGAAAAGGCGCCAAAAAATACCAACTTTGGAAAGGAAAGCAGTTATTTTTGAAAAAAAACGCAATTATAACAAAACTTTATGCCATTTTTTTCTAAACTCAACAAAATCTAAATTGCTGAAACCCATTAGAAATTTAAATTAGAAAGCCTAAATTAAAAATATGATAAACGTTTTTTTCCGGCACTCTGAAACATTTTTTTTGCCTTCGGCCTTTTGTACAGCTACAGGAATAAAGCAAATGGATTTTTTTTGCTCGGCACGTTTTTATCGTTTTCTCAGCATTTATGTAAGATATAGGTTTCAATTTTAGATCAAAAATAGGTAAATTTGTTGCCGTGAAGGCCTAATATAGCCGGTATATCATAACTAGTTTCAGAGGTGTTCTTTCTGTGGAAACATCCTCGAAAACAAACAAGTTTGAATTTAAGGGCTCAACTCAAATAAATTGTTTCTACTTCGGCACTCTTTACTAAGTCCAAATAACTCCACAAAACATGCATTGTAATTTGTTTTAAATTTTTGGCAGTCTTGTTTTTGGGCAATTTTGAATAACTCCATTGGAGCGCTCTTATCCACTTTCCTCCATATTTGAATTTGCCTTTCGAACACTGATTTAACGTAGACATATTATTATAATGAAATTTCCCATGACAAAAAAAGCCATATGATGACATTTACATCGTTTATTCACGGTATAAAATCATTAAAACATTAATAAGAAGATGAAAATTTTGCACCGAGGAGTGGAAAGAGGTAGAAAATGGGCAATTGTATTAGGTAATTGTGTTTTATTTAAATTTCGAGAAGGCGGTGAGTGGGAAGTAACTAATGTGCAACAAACGTAGTTTGACTTCTTTGTGGCTCACTGCTTTAGCTACCCAACGAAACACGGATCAAAAAGTGGACATTCAAGGGTGCCGAAAAACAATCTAGTCGATACTGAAAAAGTTCTCAACAGTGCTTAAAATTGATAGTTTTGGCGCTAGTGAAAAAAACATTTGATTTTTCGGAAAGTTTGTCCTTCGGCACTGTTGTACTACCTTTGGGAGGGGGGAGGGGGTGGTGAACAGTGCCAGTATAAAACAGAGCCGAAACTGAAAAGTGTTCAGAAGTGCCGAAAATTGACGAATATAAAATTTCAGCACTGTTCAACAGCCGCAGCGGTTTTTCGACAGTTGGTATTCTTTACAACATTTAGAGTCGGTTATTGCCTCGAACCGACGATGCGGGCTAAGTGAGCCCACCGGCTACCTTAAATCGGAGATAGCCGGTTCAGTAGTCTTTGGGTGAACATGTTATCTTCATCACTACTGTGTTTTGGCTTTATTGTACTTCCTCTGAGCCGATTAGCATGTGCACTTGCAATACTAGTTCTTTGATTATTTTTGCCGGTTTTGATTTCAAACGCGGCATTGTTAGGTTATTGGCCTGCAATATGTCAATGTAGTAATAGATTGAAACTCGAGTTAGTATAATAGTTCATGTCAACTGCCTATGCGGCTGTCAGACTTGGGTAAGATGTCACTATGAGAGTCTACGGTTCACGTTTTACAAGACTATCAGTTTTGGTTTAGCCGCCCATATTTTATCGGTTTACACCACGTCAACAATTACATACGAGCAAAAATCTTTGACGCTTGCTAATCAGGTTATGGTGAAAATGAGAAACTGAGGAAATACTAATTGCTGCAGGGCATTGCGGATTGTGGGGATTGGGATGGGGTGTAGCGGACTTCTTCCCTCTCATGGTGTCAGCAGCCTGCCGACACAAAGGATCCCCCTTTGTACTAATTTAAAATATCCTTTTTCAAAGGCACCTTTGGTGCCGAAATATTTACTAATTTTGAGGGAAAGTGCTATTTGTTGCCGTGAAGGCCTAAAATAGCCGGCATATCATAACTAGTTTCAGAGGTGTTCTTTCCGTGGAAACATCCTCGCAAACAACACGAAAAGTTTGAATTTAAGGGCTCATATTAATTGTTTCTACTTTGGCACTCTTTACTAAGCCCAAATAACTCCACAAAACATGCATCGCAATTTGTTTTAAATTTTTGGCGGTCTTGTTTTTCGGCAATCTTGAACACTTCCATTGGAGCGCTCCTATCCACTTTCCTCCATATTTGGATTTGCCTTTCGAACACTGATTTAACGTAGACATGTTATTATAATGAAATTTCCCATGACAAAAAAACCCATATGATGACATTTACATCGTATGTTCACGGTATAAAAGCATTAAAACATTAATAAGAAGATGAAAATTTGGCACTGAGGAGTGGAAAGAGGTATAAAATGGGCAATTGTATTAGGAAATTGTATTTTATTTAAATTTCGAGAAGGCGGTGAGTGGGAAGTAACTAATGTGCAACAAACGTAGTTTGATTTCTTTGTGGCTCACTGCTTTAGCTACCCAACGAAACACGGATCAAAAAGTGGACATTCAAGGGTGCCGAAAAACAATCTAGTCGATACTGAAAAAGTTCTCAACATTGCTTAAAATTGATAGTTTTGGCGCTAGTGAAAAAAAAAACATTTGATTTTTTGGCAAATTTGTACTTCGGCGCTGTTGTACTATCTTTAGGGGGGGAGGGTGTGGTGTGGGGGTGAACACTGTCAATATAAAACAGAGCCAAAACTGAAAATTGTTCAGAAAAGCCGAAAATTGACGAATATCAAACTTCAGCACTATTCAACATCCGCAGCGGGTTTTTGACAGTTGGTATTAAATACAAAATTTAGAGTCGGTTATTGCCTCGAATCAACGATGCATGCTAACTGAGCCCACCGGCTACCTTAACTCGGAGATAGCCGGTTCAGTAGTCTTTGTGTGAACATGGTATTTTCATCACAACTGTGTTTTGGTTTTATTGTACATTTCTGAGCCGATTAGCATGTGCACTTGCAATACCAGTTCTTTGATTAACTTTGCCGGTTTTGATTTCAAACGCGGCATTGTTTGCTTATTGGCTTGCAATATGTCAATGTAGTAATAGATTGAAACTCGAGTTAGTATAATAGTTCATGTCAACTGCCTATGCGGCTGTCAGACTTGGGTAAGATGTCACTATGAGAGTCTACAGTTCACGTTTTACAAGACTATCAGTTTTGGTTTAGCCGCCCATATTTTATCGGTTTACACCACGTCAACAATTACATACGAGCAAAAATCTTTGACGCTTGCTAATCAGGTTGGTGAAAATGAGAAACTGAGGAAATACTAATTGCTGCAGGGCATTGCGGATTGTGGGGATTGGGATGGGGTGTAGCGGACTTCTTCCCTCTCATGGTGTCAGCAGCCTGCCGACACAAAGGATCCCCCTTTCTACTAATTTAAAATACCCTTTTTCAAAGGCACCTTTGGTGCCGAAATATTTACTAATTTTGAGGGAAAGTGCTATTTGATGCCGTGAAGGCCTAAAATAGCCGGCATATCATAACTAGTTTCAGAGGTGTTCTTTCCGTGGAAACATCCTCGCAAACAACACGAAAATTTTGAATTTGCCTCCCAACACCCTGCCGGTCCCCCTTTGTACTAATTCAAGATATCCACTTTCAAAGGCATCTTTGGCGCCACCCGTACCCAACGGAAGCTGTTTTTCTAGATAGAAATTCTAGGTAGATTATCTTGCCTAGTTTTCTCGTATTTTCCGTGCAGAAGTGATCTATTTTTTTTTCTAATTTAGAAAGAAACAGTTTCTGGAAAAAAATTACCAGAAATCAGTTCACTTCTCAACTGCAACAAGATAAACATGCTTCGAGTATACACAATATCAGTAGCGAACACAATGCAATCTTACACTTGTTATAACATTGTTATTCTCCTAAAACTATGGAACTGTATTAAGGGCTGTAGCCTAGTGGATAGAGCCATTGTCCAGCAATCAGAAAGTCGGCGGTTCGAGACCCACCATGAGACTTTTTTCTAGCTAGAAACAGCCTAGGTTTAGCTAATTTCTGATCAGAATTAGGATTAGAAGTAAAGTATCCAAAGAAAATCCATGCTTTATTTAAACATTTCAAAAAAATTGTCTGACCAGAAATTAGATTAGGTACAAACAAACTATTTCAGGTCAGAAATACAGAATTTTCTCGGTACGGGCACTATTTACCAATTTTGAGGGGAAGTGCGTGCCAAAAACACGCTACTTTTTTGTCAACGTTTTCCAAAAAAAGTGCCTAAAGACCCTTTTTGGCTTGTTTTTTCAAAAGTTTGCCTGCGGCGAAGAAAATTGGGCCAAAACAAGAGTATTTTTAACGCTTTCCGATAGCTCGGAAAATCAATTTAGTCATATAAAAAAAAAGTCGACAAACTTTTGAAATTTTTTTTTGGAAATGCGCCCACTTGTGAAAATCTCTTGTCCACCCCTGCAACCGCTCCATGACAAAAAAGCTGATAAAATTTTCGCATAAAGTGGTACGATTGTTTAAAAGAAATGGCTAGATTTTCTTTCGCTCTGTGATCTTTCGCGCTTTTTCTGTGAGTCTTGCCTCACGTGTTTGTTATTAGATAGTACAAAAGGCATTTATCGGCAAGTTTGTACTTCGGCAGTGTTGTACTACCTTTAGGAGGGGGGGGGGGTGTGAACACTGCCAATATAAAACAAAGCCGAAACTGAAGAGTGTTCAGAAGTGCCGAAAATTGACCAATATCAAATTTCAGCACTGTTCAACAGCCGCAGCGGGTTTTCGATAGTTTGTATTCCATACAAAATTTAGATTCGGTTATTGCCCTCGAATCAGCGATGCATGCTAAGTGAGCCCACCGCCTACCTTAGCTCGGAGATAGCCCGTTCAGTAGTCCTTGGTTGAACATGTTATTTCATCACTACTGTGGTTTGGCTTTATTGTACTTACTCTGAGCCGAATAGCAGAACAGCATGTGCACTTGCAATACTAGTTCTTTGATTAATTTTGCCGGTTTTGATTTCAAACGCGGCATTGTTCAGTTATTGGCCCCTGCAATA